CTCAACTGTTGTTTCCAAAGACCAAGTTTCATTTGAAATGCAGAAATATGATCATACATCTTATTAATTAATTGATCTTTCCCTTGTAGACGAGTATTAACATAATTTAGGTGTCTAGTTATATCGACCAGAAATGCAAGGTCGCAAATCCATTCTGTCTTCAAACTCTGGGATACTTTTTGACTTGCTTGCAAAAAATGATTGTATTTCTTGCTGCAAATCAAACTCTCTTTTCAACATTTTGGCATGGGTCAGCCATCTTACTTTTGATAAAATGTAATGTCATTATAACCTGAGTCCAATGACTTTCGAAATTCTTGGAAGTGATGGTGATTCAACCCCTAATAAAAATTACCAATTGGGCAGTATCTGCTATATCTGTGCTTTTATTCAATGCTAGAGCATAAAATATAAACTAGGATGCTTGACTCTTCAAATTATCTTCAATATGCTTTCCAATGTCATCCCCACGCCTAGTAATAATCTGACAAGACAGACTTATTTTTGAGAAATTCTTCTTTTCTTGACACAGAATTTCAGCGACGCTTTCCAAACATTCCTTAACCATTTCACCATCTGAATATGGCTTAGATTTGTTTGCTAGTATCAGGGATGCACAACCTTTTGTGAAGAAGGGCCAAATTAGGATTAAGTTTATTGACTGGGGGCCAGACCCCCAAGCGATTAATGCGATGGCTGAGATTGGATGCTGGCGGCAATCTTCTTGATGTCTGGTGTAATGGCAGATGTTGAAACAACCAGCAGATTTTCCAAATTCTCGTTGGTTAACCTGTTCCGTGTTTTGCACTTGTTTAAATTCATAAGCGAAAACGCTTGTTCGCATACATAGGTACTGCCAAACATGCTTGCACAAAATCGAGCATTGTCTTTCAGTTTTGGAAATGATGTATCTGGCAGTTCTTTGTAGAATGTGAGGAGATTAGAATTTTTGAACTGTGATTTCAATTCATCACTGCACTGGATGTCTATCAACTCAAGTTGGACATCTGGAGGGGCATCTTCCACTTTCACATCAAATGGAGTTGAAAAAAGTTGCAGGTAGATCTTGTATTTCTGGAATTCACCAAACCTCTCATTGAATGATGTAAGGAGGGTGTTAACTTGGTCAGAGTAATCCATCTTCATATGTGGGTATTTCTCTTTCATGGCCTTGCAATGTGGAAAGTGTGTAAAGTTCTCTGATTGCATGTGGGACTTGAAAAGTGATAGTTTGGTCATAAATGCATTGATGTTACTTGTCAACTGAGAAACAAGTTGCATCTTTCCCTGCAATCTCAAATTAAGGTCGTTTAGATAAGCAGTAATGTCAGCAAGGAAAGCTAAATCACACTGCCATCTTTGTCCCTCCAAATTCCTTGTAGTGTTCCCCCGTTCTTTGAGGAAAGTGATAATAGGCCCCAATAGCTCCACAAATCTCTTGAGGACTGTTGCCTTGCTCAGCCAACGAACTTCAGTATACGTGGGCAGGTCAGCATAATCAGCATCTATTTCTTCAAGAAATGATGTGAAGAGTCGATGGTTGAGTCCATGACGGCGGATTAAGTTCACAGTATCATAGACATCTTTCAGCAGACGTTCAAATCCCAGCTTCTTTGCACAAAGTTGCTGTTGGTGAATTATGCAATGATACTGGACTAACTCCTTTTGCCTGTCCCCAAGGTGGTTTTTCAGCAAGGTGACCATGCCATTCTCACATCCAACCATAGATGGTGCTCCATCAGTGGCAATGCTGGATAGCTTGTCAAAGTCCAGTGCTGATTTGTTGCAAACGCTCAATAAACTAGTAAATAAGTCAGCACCAGTTGTATGTCCAGAAAGTGATGCCATGCCAAGAAATTCTTCATTCACAATAAAATCTAGTGAAACACTTCTAATAAACACAATCACTTGTGCTGTTGATGATATGTCAGGGGATTCGTCCACAGCCAAAGAAAAATAAGCACAGTTTGCAACTAAAATACAGTAGACCCCCCTATAACACTGTTGATAATTCCGCTTTATATGAATTTCATGTTGTACTAGTCACTTACATTTTACAAATACGTGAGCTGTTCACAGCCCGGCACACGTATTTGTAAAATCTAAGTGACTAGTACAACATGAAATTCATATAAAACGGAATTATCAACAGTGTTATAAGGGGGTCGACTGGTATTAAGTTGGCCAGAAATGTCTGATGCAATTTCTGAGATTCTCCGTTGTATCGTCATGCGGTTAAGACGGATTGTTTGAAAACACTTTGTCTTCTCAGGACACATCTTACTTGCGATGATAAGACACTTTTTTTATCATATTGCCATCTGTGAAAGGTTTCCCATTCTTGGCTATTAAAGCAGATATTTCTAGGCTGGCTTCAATAGCTGCATCCAATTCTCCAGATTGTTTCTTGAACACATTTTGTTGGCTGATTAGTGATTGTCGTAACGATTCGATTTTCCGTTCATGTTCCGTACCTTGCAGAAGGAAATCCTTGTGTTGGCTTTCATGATGTCGCTTCAGGTTGAATTCTTTTGGCACTGCTATTGTTCCATTGCACAAAAGGCAAATAATGCTGTTGTTCTGTTGCACAAAACAGTACTTGTTAGTCCACACTTCCACTTCTTGAAACTGATGATTCTCGCGATTGACCTTGCGTTTAATGCCCGGCGCCATACTGTTCACTCTGCAAAACAATGTCTCATTGTGCCGAAAATTCTGAGGCCCGCAACAAATCATGTTTGAGATAAGGCAAGCTAGACTACCACGTGCTTTGTTCTGTATCCACTCTGACCAAAGACTAAAGAGGCGGGGACAGAAGACTATTACGCACACGTGGCCAGGCAGGTCTTAATTCGTTCGACCCCTGTCCGGGCGTCTCCACCATTTCTCAGAATTTGTGAGTCAGATCGTCAACATGCCAGGTGCAGGACACTAATCCATCATAAATGTGGTTACCATTCTTACCTAAATTATATTTATGGCCCGTCAGTTTTACCCCCGTGTTCAGAAATGAATCAAAAGTGATTAACACAGTGCAGTGGAAAATCTGAATATTTTAAATATAATTATTAAAATTGCGATATCTCGTTTCAAATTGGCGCTAGAATCAATCTGTTTTTTGTTTTCTGTCACAAATATATCACAGTTTACGACTGTTAAATTTCAAATAAAATAAAAATTAAAAATAATAATTTAATTTTAAATTTACGAAAAAAAGAATGTAAAAATAAAAGTAAATAAAAAGTTCCAATTAATTTACTACTTAAATAACCTAAATATATCTGTTTTCTTTCAAACAAAAGAAACCGCAGCTTTCTAGCTACACGGAATCATTTTACAACCCTCTTTGTTGACAAGTTTATGGCTTGACGCAGTTTGTAATAATTATTAAATCCAAAATATTTTAGTGCAAACGGCTTCCTTTTAGTCATAATGACTCTATTCCAACTACAGTATTAATTTTCTTGGTCCAACTTAATAATAATAAATTTGATGCGAAAAAATTTTTTTCTATTCTTAGTCTATGGAGAGATAATTATTGTAAATTATTGGTTGTTATAGCTTTTTGTACATTTCTTTTTGAACTCTGGTTAGTTTTTTCTAGTTTGAATGACATTATGTTGACGAATAAGCGTCTTTTCAGAAAAGATTGATTCAAATTCGACAATACCAATCAGAATCTAGAATGTAAACAAATCATAAAAAATCGTTATTTTCATGGTTTTTCAGCGCTATTTTCATTTATTTTTGTTATTTGACGCTATTTAGACGAATAAGCAAGTTTTCCGAAGCATAAAATTGAAGATTTCCCGCCAAAATAGAAACTTCCTGATAACATCGGAAATGACGTTCTAACATCATTTTATTCTATTTGATTCTTCAAAAAATCGTTATAATACTATGTATTAGACTTAAAATATTCGATATCTAAACCAGAAAGTGTTAGCTAGAAATAGACCTATTTATAGAACAACTCCCCATTTCTCACTTCAGGGAAAGTTATAAAATAGTTGGGTGTTAATGACTTTGTGAAAGGGAAAAGTTCTACACTTAGAAACTTGGAAAGAAGGGATTTGGCCTGTAGCGTCTGGTGGGCCGCATAAACATTGATAAGGGGCTGTATGTGGCCCGCGGGCCGCAGGTTGTGCATTCCTGCTAGTATCATGGCTACTGCATAACTAGCTTTTACATAGCATGTCGACTCTGAACCCGCTCTAGTAAATATCTTTTGTTGTACAGAAATTTTTTAAGTCATTTACTTGGTCTTGTTGAAATTGCCCTTTGTACTTATCAAACTTATTTGCGTGTTTAGTCTCGTAGTGCCATTTGATGTTATACTCTTTCAAAACAGGAACAGATTTGTTGCATATCAAGTATATGGACTTTGTTTTAATTTCCACAAAAAAATAGGTTATTGTCACTTATGTTGAAAACTTCTTAATTCTTTCATTATATGAATATATGAAATTTTTCTGATGAATTTGTATTTAATTATTAACATTCATAATATGATGACAAATTTTGAAGATGTATTTAGTAAATATCAATTCTAAAATTTTCCATTTAACTATAGAAATCTTTATTTCAATTTCAAATAAATAATTTGACAAGTATCCTTCAAAAATTTATATTTAATTGACCTGTTTACATGTCTATATACAAAACAGTTTATTTTTTGTCAAGATAATTTAAGCAAAAGTAATTAAAGAAAAAAGAAACATATAGTATTTAACTTAACATAATACAATTTATAATTTTTTTAATAAAACTAATTAACTTTTTATTACTTATTAAATGTTATTAACTTTTTTAATGAACTTGTCAATGAACAAATTAAATGTTATTTAATTTGGATTTAAGATTGAAAACTGAATTTGAACAAATTTTCAATTTCAGTATTTTACAATTAAATATGTTACTTTATAAGTAAATTCTTTGTGTTGTGGAAATAGATAATAAATTATATAGTTACATTAAATGTATAAATTAATAACTTTCAGTAAATCAAAAATGGTGGGGAACAAAACGATTAGATTATGCAATATATTGCCCAGATGGTCTCTCTAACTTTCCAACAAATGCTCTACCACATTTATTTCATGCAAGTTATTGGGAATCTACTGATGTTATTGCTTTCATTTTAAGACAGGTAGGTTAAATTATTATTTTTTTTTACAAACTTAAATGTGATATAAATTATTCACTTTTTAATCATTTGGTACTTACTTAAATTTTCTAATATTATTTTATTATTACACATGTATTTATTTTTTTTTGGTACTAGCTTGTCAGGGGAGATAATGTTTCTGTCCCCGACAGTGAAGGGAAAGAAACTTTAACTTTTACTCCTAGTCAACCTCGAGAAAAATGGCTGAAGAAACGAACTTCTGTTAAATTGAAAGTAAGTAAATGCTACTATTACAATAAATTTACATTTCAGAAGAAAAACAAATGATTCTAATAATTTTGTATGACATTCAGTTTTAATTGCATAGATTATAACTTTAATATTTGTGATTTTATAGAAATAAAATTTGGGTAAGTATAGTGTAAGCATATTTAAATATTACACTTTATAAACACACCTTATAAGTCAATAAGTTTTAGGAATTTATTTATAAATTTTTATTTATTCATTTAATATTACATATTATCAATGCTATAATCTTTTTATCAAAATAATCTTCATTACATGCAATGCATATTTGTTAATACAAAATTAATTTTCTAGAACTTTCTTATAAGTTTATTTTATTAAATGTTTGTTGTGCTTTCCATTTTGTGATTTAAACAATTTTGGTTTAGTTTCATTGAAAAATATTGTCATATCAAGTTTATTCATTTGGTTTCACACATCATTAATATCTTCTTTTTCACTGAAATGAAAAAGTGTTAAGGAAGAGACATTTGAATCATTTAATGGAACAAAAAACAATGAATATATGTGTTTGTTGACAACCATATAAAGTAACTGTAATCACATTTGTGTAGAAAGAAAGGGAAACTTAAATAAATGAAAACAACGTTATCATGCAGTAATACAATAACAAAAGGAATATGGCAACAATCAAAAATGGCAAAAATTATTACTTTAGTATAACTTTAGTATAACTTTAGTTTAGTAAAACTTTAGTATAAAATCACACACATCTCTTTCTGTAGCCAACAATTTGGATAAAACAATGCAAAAATGTATTTCCAAAACGTTTAAAATAAGAAAATATTTTCATATTAGAAAAAAACATTTCAGTTAATAAAGTTTATATTGGAATAAAGAATGCAGCACAGATAAAAACTGATAAATTAAAAAATTTATAAATAAATTTCTAAAACTTTATAAATACTCTCACATATTGTCTTGTCTATAAATAAATATATATATATATATATATACAGTGGGCGATTGGTTAATGAAAAAATTGGATAATGAACACATTTGCGAAAGATTTTTACGTTTGGACAACGAACACATGGTCAGATAACAAACACTTCACAGAACAAACACAAGAAGAAGCAATGTAAAATAATGAATACCAATTGGTCTTCTCTTGTCTTCCTTCAGGCAACAATTTGAAACTTTTCGGAGCATGGGAGACATCGACGCTCAACCCGGTATATACTAATCGGATAGTATTCCTCCGAACTTTGAAACTCTTCCTTGTAATTCCAGTTTTTTTTATTTTTCTGACAGAAACAATTTTTTTATAGTATTCGCAAGACTGTCGGGTGAGCACTCGTTAAGTTTTGCGTCAGTTTTTATTTTCGAAAGGTGAGAGTATAATAACAAAGGTAGAGAGAGAGAGTGGGCAGAAGATGTCTGATGTCTGTTGTTGCTTGTCAGTATGACTTGGACAGGTCTGCAGTAGGCCACAGTTCAATCTTATCTAAGAAAGATACTGTATTATCAAGAAGACTCAAGCAGCTTAAGGAGTAACAAAAATTACATCTGAGAAATAAAGAACATTGAAGAGCTCGTAATGGAATCTGAAACTGATCTGTTGACAGTAGAACTCCAAGAACTCTTGAATGAAGAACACCAAGAAACGTGGCGAGGTATGTTTTCTTCTGAAAAAGAGAATTAATGTTGATATCTGCTATTAAACATTTTTTTGAAGAAGTGGGATGATGTCAAAACGACTGTCTTAGAATGGTGTCCAAACCGGGTTGAGGATAGGCTTAAGTATATTTACAATTACAATGCTATTAAATTAAATTAATTACTTCTGAAAAATCTTGAAGAAGAGAGAGAAGCAATTACATTGGACAGATTCTTTAACCCACACAAATGGAAAAAACATGACTAATAAAAATGCAAGACATTGTATATATGTATTTTTAATATTACATATAAATAAACGTAGTAAAAAAGTATATATTTTTTATTTTTTGGAGTCTCTGGAACGAATTAATCAAATTCCCATAAAAACCTATGGTAAATTGATAATCGGATAACGAACAAAGTCTTGGAACAGATTATGCTTGTTAACTAATCACCCACTGTATATTGTTTTATTGTCATCAGTTATTTTAATTTTTATCTTACATTTATCTGCTTATTGTTAAAATGTTTAAGTTGTATATTCAAATATTCATCATCATTGAATATAAATAAGTGAATAGTATAGAAATTTGGGTTTTGTGCCATTTTCCATAAATGCAAATTTACAAATGAAAATAACAAGCTAAAAAGTACTATAAATAACATTTTTTATTTCTTATTTTTACCATCAAAGCATAAAATATTTACAAAAATATCTAAAGGATTGATCAGGAAACTAGCCAAAAAATTAAGTTTAAACTGAAGTTGTTCTAAAGTTGTAACAATTTTATAAAGTTGATTTCATTTCAAATAATAATTTTTAATTAATTTATTTCACATAAAAATGTAAACTTTATTTTTTAATTTAATATTTTGGATTAGATCTTGTAGTCATTGATTGGTATAAAAGTTAGAACTAAATTTTAGTTAGCATTTTTAATTTTTTCTATTCATGTCAATAAATAGGTAAAAAATCTAGTTTGCGAAATCTCTATTTAAAATTGTTAACTATTTTTCAGTAATTTAGATATTAGATATAATATACTTTATTTTTTACTTTCTTCATTTTGTGTTTCATTGCTTATTGAATGAACAAAATAAAATTTGCTATTTCCTTTACATCTTTTATATCAAGAGAAGGAAACTATATTGAAAATGTTTTTATTTACTATTATTATTATTATGATAAAAGTTTTAGTAATACTTATAATTATTTAAATGAGTTTTTTGATTTAGTAATACTATTTCTCTAAAAAACCAGTTGTTTTTATATTCTGAAAATAAATGCTAGGCTCAAAATATTTGTATAAAGAGCAAAATAATTTTTTGACTTTATGATTAAAATTCAATTTTGATTTTAATAGAAAAATATAAACTTTTCAATTAATAACATATGTATTAATAATAATAATATTAAAAATTTTGTAGAATATGACTGCAAATCATAGGGCAAATGATGTAATTGTAAAAGAGGGAACACCTCAAGTTTTAAGTTCACGTTTTGTATATGGACCATTAGATATGGTTACTTTGGCTAATGAAAAGGTATGTTAATATGTATACATATAATTAATTTGTAAAAAGTTAAGGTTCAAATCTTCTGTATTTTGTTTAAAGTCAGTTAAAAAAACAAAAAACAATAGTTCTTACAGATCCCTAGGCAAGAATTTAATTTGCATATGCATATAAATAAATTTGTGACATTGAACAAAAAAGAAAATAGATTAAACCTAATGTCATGAAAACCATTGAATGGAATTCTTGAAATTGTATGCATCTATTTTAATTTGGTGTTTTTAAGTAACTCCTTTCAACTAATTTAAAATATCAAGAATATTATAATTATGCATATAAATTTTTAGTTTTTACATAATTTTAATTTTATCTGTTGTAATCATTAAGAATACAAATGGATTTAAAAACCAATAATTAATGAAAACATAAAACATTTAATAATTAATTTCCATTTAATAAAAAAGGCATTATTGTAAGTATTTTCTTAATTACTTTTTATTTATTTTAACTTACATTGCTTTTCTTAATTGAAAAATGGTAAATGATACGATACTAATATTATAAATATTAAATTATAATTTTTAAACTGTAACAGAGAAAGTTAAAAGCAAGTTTTAAATTAAACAAAGATTTAATATTTTTACATTTGAAATTGAGATAAAATTCAGTTTTTTTTAATTTTTTATTTTATAATGGAATTTTATATCAAGAAGTTTTTAAATATTAAATATTAATAGCAAATAATATGAACAAACAATTAATTATGAGTAGTAAATTAATATAAATTTCATTTCACACCTAAGAAGTTGGATTATAACATTTATTTTCACTTTCAAAATTATTTAGTGAAATTGTTATTTCTTGTTGAGAAAGCACTAAAAGTCATTTTTGTCAATAAAAATTATTAATTTTCTTTATACTGCAAACTACATTAACTTTATGCACTAACCAGTTTAGAAATATTTTTCTCTCTTCACTTTTTTGAAAATTCAACAGTTGATAAGTTTTGGATGATATATTATTTAACCCTAGATAACTAATCATTCGTCCACACAACGATGCACCTCCGCTTGAAAGTGAAATTCACAAACTTCCCCGCACTTCCAGCTGGTCATTCTTTTTCTACCTTAATAATTTGAATAAACATTACAGTGTGTGATGCAATTGTATTCACACATCAATTAGAAATTGACTTACGGCCATCCTGTAGTCCACTTGACGAAAGTTTAGTTTCTACGTAACTTTGTTGCAATGGTATGTATGTACATTATGTACATTGTTATGGCTGCAGATGTAAACAGTAAGTACGTGATAATTGCCATTCTGTATTTGGGAAAAGGTACTGATCCTCAGAAAGAACCATTGGCTATGTTTTTCATAAAGGAAATAACATCTATTTTACATGGAACAAACTGTAACATTACTGTGGATAACTGGTTCACATCTGTATCTTTGATGAACTATTGAAGACACCTTATAATTTGACCTTAGTTGGCACTCTTAGAAGTAACAAAAGAGAAATTCCTGAAAAATTAAAAAATTCTAAATCACGTGCTATATTCAATATTTTGTTACGACAGCAATAAGACATTAGTTTCATACAAATCCAAGTCAAATAAAGTTGTTTATGTGTTGTCGACTATTCATGATCAACCTAACATCGATGAAAATACAGGAAAACCACAAATACTACACTTTTATAATAGTACAAAGGGTGCGGTAGACACAGTAGATCAAATGTGTTCAAATATGAGTGATAACAGAAAAAACAAAAGATGGCCACTATGCATATTTTATAATATGCTAAACCTATTGGCAATCAACAGCTACACTATCTATGTCTCTAATAACGTTAGAAACAAAAAAACTGATGTCTCAGCAGGATTTCTTTATGAAAATGGGAGACCATCTCATGGAGCCCCGGCTACAACAACGGTTACAGACGATGCCTTTGAGGGTTGTGATATCAGAACCATGATACAGGATATTCTAGGTGATGTGCTCAGTGTAGAAGCTCCTACTCATTCTGTGTCAAATCTGCGTAAAATATGCTATTTATGTCCATTGAAAGCTTGACAAATGACAAAACCTCGTTGCATGAAATGCAAGAATGCAATTTGCGGCCCCCATAATGTTAACATATGTAGCAACTGTGTATAATCTTATTTCCTAAATATTTTGTTCTTATTTAGTTCCTACTTACCCATACTATTGTGCCATGTAACAAGTTCCTATTTTTATTAAACAATTTTGTTGATTAACGTTTTTTAATGCGTAGTCTGCTCCGACGAATGTGTAGTTATAATGTAACTGAGAATTAAGTTTAGTTATTTAGGGTTAAGTAATGCTTAATGTATTTTTGTCAATATGTGTTTATAAATATTTACAAATGCTTTTAAAATTATGGAATTCAATAAGAAACATATGTTGACATGGAAAACTGGGTTTTATTTACAGACATTTGTTGATGTCCTCTTTTTGGTGTACATGTTGAAGATAATATAATTTATTTTGTATGATTTATTGTACCAAATTTTTTCTTGATAGTTGAGAGATTAGAATATGTTGATTTTAATCCAAAGTAGTTTGGAAAGATATGGTTTTACAGTGTATTGTTCTAATTTTTTGTATTTGCAGAAGATATTGCTTAATTAGTTTTTCGATAATTGATTTGTCGTTATTTGGATTTAATTTCAAATAATTAACTGGAGCTTATTTAGAAAACATTTTCAATATTTCTCAAAATAAAAATGGTATTAATAAAAATTTTTAATTAAAATTAAGCACTTTTTAATATTTTACCAAAATAATACACTTTTAAAAATTTTAATAAATTTAACTTTTATTCTTTTAACAAAAATAGGACAAGTGCTAACTCTCCATAAAGAAGGGGAAAAGATTAGAAAATAAATAATGAGAAATCTCTCTTATGTTGAAATATTATTATTCATGTAGACTTTCTCATTTTTAATGGAAATTACATGGCCCTGGG